TGACAGAGCACAGAGCAGGATGAAGAGTCACCCAAACTGTTCCTCAGTTAATCATGGTAATTAGCCACCATCTTAAGCAACTCCCATTAGTTACAGCCTGATTTTCTCAGGCATAGTCAGCACACGACATGCCAGTTAAAACTCACCCGGCAGCCAACTTGGAAGTAGCCACCCTGGCCCACCATGGGGCTCATCCAGGTAATGGAAACATGCAGAAGAGGTGCTCCTTTCCTTGAAGGACACACTTAAATTAATGGTGAACTGGGTCTTATTTCCCAGCCCTGATTGGAAAGCCTCAGTGAATGCATGCTGGCTTTCCAGAGCAGATGCTGTAGGGCTGGAGAGGCCACCAGGACTGGCTCTGTGCCCCAACAGCAGACCACAGCCAGGGTTTCTCTCTGGAGCTGTGCTCACATGGTCCCTCCACTGCATGAACCCTCACTCCCAGCAAGACTCGCACCCTACGCTGGGCAGGGTGGCACAGCAGCCTGGGGAGCAGGCTCACCGCCTGCAGGAAGAAGCTCACTCTCCAGAGCTTTTGCTAACAGCAGAGCCAGTTGCACAAAGCCCTTCACCCTCCAGCACCCATCCCTAAAAGTCACAGAGGATGCCCCAAGGACAAGTCAACATCAAACAAGCTGTCCAGCATGGATCAGTTTCATAAAAGCACTCTACACTGGTCCCAGCTGGAGGGCATGAAGCAGATGCACCCCTCTCTGCACCCAGAGTAACAGGGAGTTAAAGCCCACCTTCCTTCCACCTGCGGCTGGGAAAAACAAGGCAAGGAAAATGCAAATGCTTTGCTGGACCAAGTATTAGCCACAGCTTAATTGCCCCTCTCCAGGGATCTGCTCGCAGGGGTAAGGTTCATCATCACCCAGGCCTGCCAACACCTCTGTGCTCTACAGCACCTTTCCAGCTGGTTTGGTGCTTATTTATAGGCAGCAGTCCTCAGGGAATTACAAGAGGAGATGAAGCTCAACCTCTTCCACAGAAAGCTTGACAACGCTGAACTTTCTTGCTGCCTGGCTAAGTGGGGGGACAGGGGAGCAGTGCTGGAGGGAGTAGAAATCAGGCTCCAGCATCTCTGGTATCTTGCCTGTGCGAGTACACAGGTTTAAAAACACACACACTGTGTTTTTAACAGGATCCTATATTCCTTGCTTGTTAAATGAAAGGAGATAAGAGTATTTTGGTACCAAAGAAATAGAGTAACAAACCTGAGCCAGGCTAAGAAGCGCAAATGCCTATGGATGGTGAGCAGGGCAGCAGGGCTCTGCCCATCTGCAGGGAGTGGGTGTTCTAGTGCCTGTGCTGCCTTGTTTAAACAACTGCCTGGGAAACCCAATGTTTGATTTGAATCCACTAGAGGTGGCCTCTGAGGCACAGGGTACATAACTCAACATGGAAAGTGCTGAACTTAACAACCCTCTGGCCTGAAGAGGAAGAAAACATCTCTTCTGAGCTAATAACTAACACAGGAGCTGGACACAGTTGGAGAGTCCCCTTGGCCTTAGCATAGTATTTTTGGGGAGGACCCCCAACAAAGCAAGGGGGGAACCTAGCTCCTCATTTTGCAGATGCCACATCTCAACATCTGAGGGGAATTGTGGAATAGTGGATGCCAGGGAACCTCTGATGGAACCCACTGCTCAGAGCAAACTCAGAATGATGCCACAGACACCAGAAAGGGAGAAATCCCAAAGCTTTCACTGGGCTGCATCAAGCCTTCATCCCCGATCCCCCCATCTCCCACCCTGTTCTGTTCTCAGCCTGACAGAGCTCAGCAGCCTCTCCCTGGGCACGAGGCCTCACGGCTGTGACTAATGGTGTGTTTTGACATCCCTGAAATACTCCAGCACTTCATTTCAGCCGCAGGGAGCAGGAAGGAAGGAGGGGACATGCTGGTGGGGAGCCGACACTGAGAGGGAAGGAGGGGCAGGAAAAGCTTTTGCAAAAGCACCAGGCAGCAACAGAGCAGAGCAGCATCTAAAACTTGCAGGAGATGGCCAAGGGGCAGGCTGAGACCTGGAAGACACCCAGGAAGCCTGTCTGATGTGCTGCTCGCCTGTGCCTCCCTTGAAGCTATGCAGAGGTACAAGGCACTGGTTTTATTTAGTATCTCCCCTCACCCTGCAGTTTCTCTGCTTGAATGGGAAGACAGGGATGCTCCAATAATCCCTAGTGAGCCTGTACCTGGTGCTGAGGGATGTGGGACTGCCCCGGTCCCCTGCCCAGACTGGCAGAAGGCAATGCCACCAGCCTCAGTCTCTCCAGCAGAGCCAGGAAAGCAAGAGATAGGGACCCCTGGGGAGGTTAATTAACAAACATCTTTCCTGTGCTAAAACAGTCACCTCCGGCCCCAGGGGGGTCAGTGGAGACATAGCCCCAGCCTCTGGTAAGGGAGCAAAGAGCATCCCAGCCACCAGCTGAGCTGCTGGTTGAGACCATCTGCCAGCCAGCAGCACTGGGGAGAGGAGCAGTCGAAGCCATGGGGGGGAACTGGCTTTTTTCCTGACAGCTCTTTTACTCATCACCAGCTGCTCACGCTGGGGTTCAGATGGTCCTGCTGCACCTCAGCAGGCTGGGGGAGAGGGAAGAGCAAGCTGCCTGGCTGGGGATCCAGATCTCCACATGTGATCCCCAGAGAGACAGAGGTGGAAAGTGGAGCAGCCTGGGGAAAACTGACCCAAAATGCACCCTGCCCTGAGATAAGAGCCAAGGGATGGCTCAGCAACACTGCTAGACTCACTCCAACCTAGCAAGCAGAGCCCTCTTTGCACCAAGGAAGAAAAGCAGTCCTCCAGGCTGCATCATCCCAGCCCACTGTACACCCATTGCAGCCATGAGCATCCATGGATCAAACCAACCACAGAATGCAGAAAGTCAGCAGAAACTCCACCTGGCATCACGAGAGTGCCACTCACAGAAGTTTTCTTGGGTCACTGTGAGCAAGGAGACCAGTTGACAGCAGTAGTGGGGAAGGGATTGTTTTCTCTTTTCAGCTGTCACTAAAGTCATCAGTGTGGCTGTGAGTGATTCACACCAGTGTATGAAAAGCCTGACTCAGGCACTGGATGCAGTGGGTGGGTGCACTGACTCAGCCACACCAGGGATGGGGCACAGGGGGCTACAGCCTCACATGGCCACGGGAAAATCCTGTTTGCAGGAGGGCAAAGGCACCACTGGCCGGGAGATCACACAAACATGCTTATAACAGCGGCAGCATGGGTAAGCCCAAGGAAAACACCACATCTCAGCATCAACCTGTCACCCATCCAGAACAGGTGCTAAAGTGCAGCAGGGTTGGGCCACACTCTCATTTGGCCTTTCACTGGGGAAAGGTATACTCTTGCCTGTGTGATGGCAGAGGAGGAAACCCCCAGGTGCTCAAGGGGTGCAAATGCATCCCCAACTACACTGAACAAACTTTCCAGGTACTCCAGGACCAATGAGAAGCAAGGAAATTCATCCGTGCAGAAGGAGAGACGAGAGGGGAGCCTCGTGCCTGGGGACAGCCTGCTGCCACAGCCATCTTCTCTTCCCTTCAAGCCTGTAGACACACACCCAGGAAAGCACCAGTGCTGAGACCTGCCCTGTGACCCTGCCATGCTGCCTGTGCCGCACTGGTGGAGGGCTGCGTTGCAGAGACCTCAGATCAAAATTCCCTGTCATCCTGCTGCTGCCATGTGCCAGCAATACTGTGCAGACACTCTGGAGAGAGGGAGCTGAAGAGAACCCCTCCAAAAGACACTCCCATTTGGACGGTGCTCAGTCTGGAATTACTCAACGGATGGTAGCTATGTCCCAGTCTTTGCCAAAATTGCTACCAGCAGCAGCAGCCGAGGCTGCAGTCGTGTGTCTCATCTCACTGACAGCACCTTCCATAACGCTGTGTCTCATCTGCCAAACAGCCTTGGCCATGGATACGGACCGGCTGAGAGTGTCACCACATCCCACGGCATCCTGAGCCCAGACCTCCCCATCTGCAGCATGGACCAAGCCTGGCCTCATGTCAGCGTGAAGAGGGGGATGAGATCACCCACCCAGGGGAATGCAGCCCATAAAGGAAACGAGGGTGGTCCAGGCAACAAGTAGCACTTGTCTGTTTCAGGATCATGGGTGAGAGCTACCTTGGCCATGCAGAAGGCCAGCAGGAACCACAAGCACCAAAACACCCACTCAGCAACGCAAGAGCAGGCAGGAGAGCTACAGGAACAAGACAAGCAAACCTTGATTTTGGGGACCACTCATTCATCACTGCCACCAACAACAGCCAGGCAGGGACCAACGTGAGAAGCAGCACCCAGACCCATACAAAGTGGGAACTGGGTGCAGAGAGACCACACAAACTGCTGGATGCCCGTGGCAGGCAGGGGAGGCTGATGGGGACGCCCCTGCAGCCTGTGCACTCCCAGAGAAGAGAGGAAATCCTGCACATCTGGGAGGCCTTGGGCTAGCAGAGGAGGACTGGAGCTGGACAAGTCCAGGGCAGGTCACCACCACTGCCTCTGCCCAGAGCATGGGCTCTTCGGAGCGCTCAGAGCTCTCAGGTGGCTGAGGCAGGGAAAGAGAAGGGGCTAACACCCCACCTCGGCCTCATCCACCCCACCGGGACATGAGGCAGGGCAGCCCCCGGCACAGACACACACACACCGCTGCTTCCCAGGGCGGAGGGTCCCCCAGCCCCACTAGCAGAGCCCAGCCCGGAGCCGCAGCACGGCCACGGCCGCTGCCGGCCGGGACCCCGACGGCTGCCCCCGGCCCCCTGCGCCCGGCGGAGAGCCACCTTAAGCGGAGTGCAGAGGTACTCGCCGCTCCGAGGCTACCTTAATAAAAACTTTGCGAGCGCCGAGCCGCAGCCCCCGAGAAACCCTCGGGAAGGAGCGAAATGGGGAGTCGAGCTTCAAACTTGGGGCGCCCTCCCAAAGCGCAGCTCCATCCTCCCGTGCGAGGAGCAGAGCCCCCCGGCCCCGCAGCCCGCCGGGGCCCCAGCCTACCTCTCTTAGCTGGCTGCCGCCGGCTCCTTTCCCCCGTCCTCCTTCCCCGACGCGGCGGCGCAACGTGCGCCCGAAGCTCAGCGCATCCCCGGCGGCTGGGGTGAGACAAAAGCCGCCGAGAAGGGAGGGGAGGAGGTGTTCTCTGAGACCGAATCGCTCAAGGCGAGGAGGAGAAGGAGGGGGATGGAGATAGTCTCAACTGGCGGGGACTGCCGTCTCCCGGCCGTCTCCAACAGGTAGCAGCGAGCTGGGAGAAGCGATGTCCCCAACGGCGACAGCGTTTCTTTACTTTGGAATGGCGAGTGGGATCTCCCTAGGGCCACCATCCCTGGCAGCAGCTAGCGCTGGACACAGCTTACCTGAAAACAGAGGCATGGCTCCTGCAGGAGAGCTGGGTGAGGTCGGGATACTATTCCAGAGACATTATTTGTTATAGGAAGGGAGAAAAAGAGCCGGGGGAGGGAGGGAGAAAAAGAGGGAGGGGAAGGAGGGAGGGAGAGACAAGAGAAGCAGGGAGGGAGGAAAAGGAAAGGGGGGGAACCTGGGGGGGACACGAAATTAAAAAAGAAAAGGGGGGGGGGGGGAATAGAGACAGTTAAAATCTGTCTCCTGCCCACACAGTGGGAAAGAAATTTGTGACAATCGGAGAAAGGGAACTCACGCATACACCAGAGGGGGCAGACGCAGGATAACAAAGGAGGAAGGAGCCGAGCTCCACCAAAACAGAGCAGGAACTGTCCGGGCACACCCCCCTTGCACACGCAAGGGGGTAAGGACGGGTGCACATCTCTGCCCACCAGCACAGCTCGGCCACCGCACCCGCCCAGCAGCAGCACCCACAAACCTGCACCGTGGGTGCTTCAGGTTTGATTTGAGCACCTCAGACCCACATCAGTATTGCGGACTGCTGTCGAAGGACCCCACATTGCCCCACCAGCCAGTGTTGGTGCTCCTGAAACACTCTTTTGCAGCCCAGGTCTCCCCCTTTGTCCACACACTTCAGTCCAGGGCTTAATGACCTCCATAGGTCTTCCCACACAAAGCAGGCATGAGTTTTCCAGTCACCACATACCCAAGTGAAATACTACCTTGCACTCCCTTCTGTTCTCTGACATAAGATCTCCTCTTAGCCAGCACCAAAAGCAAGGGCAGTTTTGGGGGTGGTGAGGGTCATGGGGGCATAAGGACCGCCAGATCAGCCAGAGATTTACCCCACAGCATCCGAAGGCTGCTGGCAGGAAGAGGTTGATTCAACTCTTCAATCATGTTTGCAGCCCATTTTGCAGAGGTGCATGCCCACTGCTTCTGCCTTGGCTCCATTTTGCTTTTCCTGGCACCTTGTGCAGCACCCGTGGACAACTAGACCTGAAGGTGCAGGGTAGCAGAGCTACAGGTGGCACAGGCTCTCTGTATTTTAGTCAAGGAGACCTACAGCACTGTCACAGCAGTGACAGCAGCCCCTTGGCAGCATCACTGGACTGAGGCAGCACACAACTCTTAATATTCACCCTTGGCATGTGCAGGGAGAAGTCCTAGCGCGGCATGGCTCAGATGAGCCCAGCTGGTTTGCACAGGACTCCCAAAAAGCTTTTCATTGCTGGCTTCTCCAGGAGACAGCCCACTGGCCAGGGGGCTGTTTGGGTGGGCAGGACGTCCCCACACCACAATGCCCCTCCAGCTCCCCGCTTTCCTTCCACCACACTGCAAAGCGTCCCAGCAAACCTGTGCTGCTTGGCAGTGCCCAGGAGCATTCCCGACTTCAGAAACTTCCAGGGCTGGGCCAGTAGTGTTGCTAACACTGCCCTGAAGCTTCCTCTGTCCCTGTGCTTGTACCGAGTCTCCCACCATATGCTGCCACATGGCACACAACTCCTGCCCCAGCACATACCTCACCTGCATGGGGCAGCCATTACTGGCGTCATAGCGCACGTCACCCCGGAGAGCCAGGGCACCAAATATTTGGGACAGTTTATGTTACTTTTGCTTTACCAATGCATTGCATGGCTCTGCAGTGGCACACTGGCACCTCAGGGGCTGCGGAAGCAGTAGAACAAGGCACCCAGCCTCCCCCTCACAGGGACACGTGCCTGTGCCACTCAGCATGAGTGCTGTCTCTTTAAAACCTTCATCCCTAAATCTGAATGAAGCTAAAGGAAGAGAGGAGTGCTTCATTTAGATGTCTCCTCCAGCACTTCCATTCATTCACATGCTCGATGAGCATGCTCCTGCCCCAGCACACTTCTGCCAGCACCTTGAGGAAAAGGCACAGAGAAGAACCTGTAAGTACCCATTCTCTTTGGGATGCATAAAAATTCCTCAACCAACTGCCAGGACGCTGCACACCAAACTGGCAAATCCAGCCCAAGCAAGGCCATCCTGGCATTTGCAGAAGGCAAAAAGCACTGCCAGAAGGCCCACACACATCAGCAACCCCGTTTCTCACCATTTCTCCCGTGTTGCTAGGATCTGGCACTGGTAGGGATAGGTAAATACACACTAGGAAAGTGCATTCCTCTGGTCTCCCAGAGAAAAGGTTTTGACACCCTCTAACACACCGCCCCGCACACATGGTACCCCCAGATCCTGTCCTGAATGTCCTCCCTGCAACTCAGGTGACCCCAGCATGGCAGCCAGCCTGAGCACACCAAGACGGCTTTCTCAGTGACAAACCCAGGGACTTCATTTAAATATATATATGCTGTTACTTGGGGACTGGTAATGCCTTGGATTCAGATGTCTCCATGGTTACCTGCTCGTGGTGGGAGCTGGGGGTAATTGAACTCTGGGGGTTCACCATTCATAGCCCATCTCCCTTTCCCCATCCTCACGGCTCCGCGCAGCCCTCCTGCCTTCCTAGGCAAGTGACAAGGCTCCCAGCTCCCCCCGGAGGGGGAGGAGAAGCAAGGCTCTCCCCGAGAGCTCATTACGCGAATAATGTTGTCAGCTCCTCAGACAATTAGACACGAATGCAGATCAGCTTCCTCTTCCCGAAAGAAAAGACAATCCTGATCGGCACGGAGACAAAGCCGCGCGCCTCCTCCCACCACCCATCTAGACAGGAATGAAACATGGAGAGAAGGCACCGGGAGCAGCGCCGACATCCCCGTGCCGAGCTGCTGTCATCTCGGGGGAGCGAGCAGCAGGGGCAGCGGAGCCTCCCCTCAGCCGCGCAAGCACGCGAAGACAACCAAGGCAAGCACCGGCGTGCGGGTTTGGAGCCCAAGGCACTGGCTGGAGAAGAAAACAACCATTCAGAACTGCAAAGCCCAGCTAGACAAAAACAAGCATCTTGTACATCCAGGGGCACCCGACTTGGCTCGACCCCAAGTTTCGCTGGAGCATCCAGAGACACCTAAGCTCAAATCCAGCACCATTTCATTTGCAGACGCTACCTGGACTTGATTAATGTTCAATGCTCGTTTGCTAACCGATTATTCCTGTATAACAGCACCGTGTAAAGCAACCCCAAGGACCTCTAGCTTTTTAATATAGCTTTCTTCCCGTGCAGCACAAAAGCCTAACTAGCTTTATTCCTCCTCCTTCCTGCATGTACAGCCACAAACCCTTCAGATGTGAACTAATTGGAGACAGTTCAGAGGGCAGTAAGGAAAGCATACAAAGGGCAGTAAAGCACAACCTGCTGGAAAAAAAAATGGAGCCAAAAGACCTGTGTTTGTGTAGTCTGGGAATCAGAAAGCAGAAGAGACACGATAGCGGTATTCAATTATGTAAAAGGTTGCTACAAAGGGTGCAGGAATATATTGCAGTGCGTCCCCACAGGGAACAGAACAAAAAGTAATGGGTTGTAAATTGTAGTTTAGATACTAGAAAGAGAAAAAAAACCCAACCTCAATAGCAATGATTATTTAAGCTTCAAGATAGTTGCTGGGATTTGAGAGCAGGTCAACACTGATGAGGAGAGCTGAATAAAGCAGCTCCCATTTTGAGACAAGGGAAAGGATCACTTGAAAGGGATGTTCCTGCCAGAGGGTTTTAGCACTGGTTTCTGCCAAGCATAAGGGGAGCAGCAGCTTTTTTTGTGGGTAATGCAGACCACCCCCTGCCCAACCCTGCACCATGCCCCCCGCCCAGGTTAATTCTGCCTCTGCCTTCTGCAAGGTCCATGGTGTTGCAGGTAATAGAGCATCTCAGCCTGCCCTCCCTGACACAGGCTTGGGGCTGTGCTGGGGTAAGAAAGCACCCAGGTTTTGTCCTACATCTATCTGTCTCCTGTGCTTAGGACCCACAGCACATCAGGGACTGTTGTGCAAGTACCACATCCATTCCCAGGTGAGCTGCAGCGTGAGGACATCACTCACCCTGCACTCCGCAGGAAGGACTGATGGTGTGGCACAACCCTGCACTCCCTCTGGGTCATCAGTGTCTCTAAAGTTGACTAGTTTGGGTCAGAAAGTGAAGCTCCTTGTTTTTTTGGACATGTGCCTCATTTCTTGAGTTTCATGCTCATAGCTTTCAAGTTGATCTGTGTATTTTTCTACTAAATAGGCATGTATTTTAAACAGAGCTAAAGAGACAAGGACATGAAGCACAGGCCACCTGAAAGCATCTTTAAAAACAAAGGAGCTATAGGTATTTAGCAAAGCCTCCAACACAGCAGAGGACAACTGCTGGAAGCGCACATATGCAAGCTGCCAAATTGTCTGCCGGTCCCATTGAGAGGTGAGAGCTGGAGACACCCACCAGAAAGCCATGGACCTTCATGGGGAGCAAGTGCTGCTCTCCTGGAGAGAGGAAGTTGCAATTGGCATGGGGAAGAGAAACTGGGTAAGGGTTGCTGTGACTCCCACAGGTGGTAAACTCTCAGAAACCTGTGAAACTGCCTCAAGGTGGGAGCAAAAGCACTTTCCAGTAAGCGCCACACGCTCCTGATGCTGCACTGATACCCCGATAAGGTTTGTTCCCAAGTACCCACATATGCCAAATTACGCACTTCTGTTCAACAACAGGAAAGGCTGTGAAGCTTTAAACACGGTTAATGATAGGTACTCTCTTGCAATAATGTGAGCACTGTAACAAGGACTGAAAGAAGAAAAATGGCCTAAATCTTCAGGTGTTTATGTAAGTAGGAACTTCCTAAAAGCAGATAATCTTCCCTGGAAAAAACTTTTCAGTAACAGAAACTGCCAAGACTGTGCTGCAAAAGAAAAAGGAAAAT